AGTAGAAATCCATAAATCATTATTTGAAAAAAGTCATTTTCAAAATAAAAACAATAAAGAAATAAATCCACAAACACTTTGTTTGACAATTAAGGCTTGAAAATAACCTGAAATATCTTAATTGGAAAATACTAAAAAGATATGAATTAACATTTAAGAGAAATTTAAAAATATCCACATTTCTACATAAAATTAGATATTTGTAAAACTGAATGAGTTTCTAGGGAAGTTATCTGGCAGACTGTGAGATCAACTTTGTTTCATTATTTATGAAACAAAGTTGATCAAAAATGATCAACAACAATCACTGGACTTGATCAAATATCTTTTCAAAATTTTATAAAATATTTTGCAAATGTCCAAAAAGTTGATTCTCTTGATCTGGACGTAACTTTTTGTGGGAGAAATGTTTCGTCACTCATCCAAGTGCAAATGTTTCTCCCTCAGTCAGACTGCAGAGACAACTGAGCTGTTACAGCAGGAACTGACTGCAGCTGCTGAAGAGGAAGAAAAACAGTTCAGTGAAGACAAAGCTGACAGAAAGTCATGTTCTGCACACATTTTCTGAAAAGAAAAACAAAAGTTGGCTGTAGGAACGGCATTGGTCAGCTGGTGAGTTGTGCCAAATTTCCTCCACGCATGATGTCTGGGATTCAGGTTAAAGCGTTCTTTATTTCATCAGACCAGAGAATTTAGTTTCTCATGGTCTGAGATTCCTTCAGGTGCATTTTTCTGGGGAATCACTATCATCGTGTTATTGGCCAGCTTCACGTCTAAGGCCCTTCTACCCTGATGTCTGAAAGACTCATGGTGGTTTCAGTTCCTCAATATTTGGGAGAATAGAGGCCACTGTGCTCTTTGAGATGTTCAATGCTGCAGAAATTTTTCCGTACTCTTCCTCACAAAGAGACTGTAACATACAAAATGTGGAAAAAAGTTATTGACCTCCTAGGTGAAGAACTGAACACAAAAGAAAGGTGTTCACAGTAAGTCAGTGCAAAGACAGTAAACAGAAGTGTGAACAAGGAAAGAAAAACCCCACAATGAAAACATGACAAAACATACAAAGTATAAAATAACCACAAAAAGCCCACATTTATACAAAAATTGCAAAATGGCATAAAACTATATAAGGAAATGCAAATAACCAAACAAGCCAAATTATACAAACACACTATAAAGAAATACATCAAATGCAAAAGGCACAAAATAAGACACAGTCATACAAAACATTATTTTTTTTAAATTAAAATTGATCAGAAGGAAAAAAAATGTGCCCTGCATGGATGTGCAGTCTGCTTTTTGTATCCATGTATAAGAGTCAATTTCATGTGTGTTCTCTTATTTTAACATAAGAGGGCACTATTTGTACAGCAGCAATGTACAATATCCACCCAGACTTCATAGGTGCAGGTGTGTGCTCACTGACCCATGCATTAATTTGAATATCTGTTGTGCACCCTGAATGCAAAATAGTTTTCTATAGTTTCAGTATCATATAGAAATTTTTGTCCTTGTGTAAAATAACAATTTTTAATATTTTGCTGGGTGGACAGCTGTCTATAAGTGTATAAGCCCGTCTCTCTGAGCTGCACAGCCAGCACAGAAATCTGTAATTACCTCAACTCAGTACTGACAAAATAAGTTAGTGTCTGTTTATTAGATCTTTGTTGTTTCAGCAGAATCAGATCCATACTTGAATTAACAATAACAATCAGTGGAGTTCAGGCTGAAGATCTAGATCAGGGTGCCCAATCCCGGTCCTCGAGAGCTACCGTCCTGCAGCTTTTAGATGCATCCTTGTTCCCACACACCCGAATCAAATGAATGGCTTGTTATCAGGCCTTTGCCAAACATGATGGCATGCTGAAGAGGTAATCAACCATTTGATTCAGCTGTGTTGGAGTAGGGATGCATCTAAAAGCTGCAGGATAGTAGCGTTGTTCACGCTGGTTGGCTGTTGTGAAGGGGTTTCTCACTCTGTGAAAACAATGTGTGAGAACAAGGACATTGGTACAGTAAAAACTAATATCAAATTAAACTGGTTAGGGATTGATGTGCTGCAGCGATGATCTCTTGGAGGAGATTAGAGACAGCACTCCAGAATACTGATTTTTTTGGGGGATTAGATTAACCAGGGGTCCCCAATCCCAGTCCACAAGGGCTGGTGTCCCTGCAGGTTTTAGATCTCACCCTGGGTCAACACACCTGAATCACATGATTAGTTCATTACCTGGCCTCTGGAGAACTTCAAGACATGTTGAGGAGGGAATTTATCCATTTAAATCAGCTGTGATAGATCAAGGACATATCTTAAACCTGCAGGACACCGGCCCTCGTGGACTGAGATTGGGGACCCTGCCATAGACAGAGACCTGACTTTAAAATTAAACATGCAGTAACATATACAACCTGCTAGATTAGTAGTTAGTATGTTAAAGAAAAACATGTTTTACCTCACAGTCTGAGGATTTGGTCTTTTTGAGTTTCAATAATTATTATCAGATGAGTTTACAATCAAACAGCTCTGTGAGGTTTAAGCAAAATGCCAACATCATCATGTTAATGCAATAATAATGCAGTTATTTTCAGGAATTCAAATAGTATCTGAAACTGAAGAGTGCGTTATAAAAAAATATAAAATATTAAAATATGTTACTCATTCTTTCTCAGTAAAATTTGGGGTCATCAAAGTAACGGCAATACAGTCTGAGAAAAAAATAGCTGCGTGGAGGAAATTAGAGGACAAGTCAAGTTTTTTATTTATTTATTTTTTTCAGAAAAGATACAGTTCATCTGTACATGGTTCAAAATATCAAATACCTGAGTTATGGCTTTTACTATGGAGCATAAACCCCCTTTCTCAGGGCTTTAGAGAGCTGTACAGGACTAAACTATTTAGAGAATTGAGTAATGTTAGACCAGCTTGTTATTCATTCCTTTAAACCACTATTCATATATTTCTTTTTTTCAAAATAAAGTTCAGTTTGTCAGAATAATCAAAATCAATCAGTGTCTTTAGTGTCAGATGTATGACAGTAGTGGAACCATGCAGCTGTTAATGAGACAAATATAATGAAAAGGTTGAATGAGCCTCTCCTCACACGACCTCTGTGTTTTCTGTTTCATTGGGAGAGGTGGGTGGTTTCCTCCTACAGTGTGTTTTGCACACTTTCATGCATCACTGCTCCTCACAGTTTAAGTTCTGCTGTCACACATGCTCTCATGCACTTCCACTGAAAACTGAGTCAGGATGGTGTTTCTGTGACACACTGTAATGTGTGGTCACATCATGTGATTTAATTTTTGTATATCGTATAAGCTTTTAGGTGTAGTTTTGTTAAGGAAGGGCCTTAAGCTTGTGATTTTTGTTGGAGATCCAACATGTGGTGTGATCCCTAGTTACGCCACAAGGGGGCACTTCCGCCCTAGTGAGATGGTTTAGTGTGACGCTACTGCATGTCTTCAGATCTGGCAGAAGCGAGAGAGGAAACACACTACCTGTCGTCCATCTCATGATTTATCTGTTTTTTTCAGGTTAGTAAGCAATAAGGCCACACATGTGGTCCACATAATTTACATGCCAAATAAGGGTAAAACCTGACCAGCAGTTTGTTTTGCTGGGATCTGTATTCGTCTGTTTTGCTCATTGAAATGTGTTACGATCGAGAGTAGGAGCTAGCTTAGCTCGCCACATCCTGGAGTAGCTGTTAGCTTTGCTGTTTTCTAAACTTAAGGCACCCTCTTGTAACAAAAGTACACCACGGCTCCTGTATATTTGAGTTAATGTGTTCGCAGAGACAGTTTGATGTGTTGACACTGTTATTGTCTAAAGTTAGTGTAATAACCTGTAATAATTCTGATCGCTCTGCAATGTTGATGTGGAGATTTCCACTACACAGATACGCCATTAGTACATGGTACAGTACTGGAATGTTTGCTTTATCAAACTATGTGTGAAAAAAGTGTGATTTATAGCTCTCAGTAACAAACAACAGAGATGACTGTTTAGATTTTTGTTTATACTTTTACTATACTATTTTGGTTTATTCTGATTTCGGGCTTTGGGAATGTGAGACAGAGATGTTAAGAAGTTTTTGCAACCTGTTGTGAACACATGAATGTGTTTAAATAAAGATCTGGCAGAAGCGAGAGAGGAAACACACTACCTGTCGTCCATCTCATGATTTATCTGTTTTTTTCAGAACCAGACATAATCTGTCAGCCGCCCTCTTGCCTGGGGCGTGTTACAGATTCTTGGGGGCTCGTCCGGGATTGGCTCTCCACATTGCTATGAGCTAATCCCACAACCTACAACACCTCGTGCTGGTAAAGCTGACAGCGTGATGCCGGCTGCCCCAAAGTGAGCTGTCTGTGTGAGACAAGCTGAGACCAAGTGAGGAAGAGGGCTGGACCCAAAAGCAACCTACTACGAGAGACTGGGGAAGACGTCGTCATGGCAGACCAGGAGAGGAAAAGCCTGGTATGGGACATCAGGAAAAGCCTACTGTCGCTGTCATCCAACGAACTTTTCCAGATTGCTTCTACAGTCAGCCCTGTTCCAGGCAAAGATGCTGCAGAGCTTTCCAGCGGAGACGCAGAGGGATGTTTCGAGTACATCCACGCCTTTATGTACAGTAAGAACTTGTTAGATGCTGAGGATAGGGGCATGGGAGAACTGCTAGCCCTAAAAGATGTCGTCGATGAGGTTGTTCAGTCTCAAAGTAATGTAACCTTACCTGCTGGGTCAAGTGTAAATACAAAGCCAATGTCCCCACTTATCACTGTCCCACCTACTGCATCAGCCCAACCAGCTAACACTGATGTACTATTTTCTGATGTAACAAATGTAACCACTCCTGTAACAGCAAACGCCAAGCTAATCACTGAGACAACTAATGAACTCAGTTGTGACGTTTTACCAGAGAATGTCCAAAAGATGCTGTTAGACTATGAGGATTTGAGCCAAAAGCTTGGTAGGCTGATGCACATCCCCACACCTCAAGCTACAGCACAACCTACACTCTCAGTCCCACATCACTCTGAGACACAGATGGACGTTTCCAGACACAGAGGACCCGAACAAGTAGTATCATTGAAGGATCTGTCCTACATTCATCGCCGTGAATTCAAAGTTCAAGGAGGCCAAATTGGAGATCACTCATCTGATATCAGCTTTAACAGTGTTTGCAGACAGATAGAGGAGGGGATAAAGGACAATTTCACTGAGTCTGAGATCGTGAGAGGTGTGCTAAGGATAATAAAGCCAGGAGATTTCAAGGACATGCTGGTCAATAAAGAAGACATGACTGTGGCTGAGCTCAAGGGGTTCCTCCAGTCGCACTTAGGTGAGAGGAATAGCACAGAACTATTCCAAGAACTAATGTGTGCCAAACAAAATGAGCATGAAACCCCTCAGCAGTTCCTCTACCGTGTTATTGGACTGAAGCAAAGAATATTGTTTGGGTCAAAACAGCCAGGGACTGATATCAGGTATAGCCCAGACACAGTACAAGATGTCTTCCTACACACAGTGTATCAGGGAATAGGACACAAGTACAATGATATTCGCAGGGAGCTTAAACCTTTACTTTCAGACAACACAGTTACAGATGAGACAATCCTAAAGCATGTCATGAGGGTAACAAGTGATGAAAGTGAACGACAAAGGCGTTTGGGGTCAACACAACGCTCAAGACAAGCTGCTGCACATAGTCTACAGTTTGAGGGAGAACAGGTTAAGCAGGCAAATACAAAGAAAGACATGACAGAGCATAGAGCTAAATCAGATGAAGTACAGAAGCTTGCAGAGAAAATAGATGTGCTCACCAAACTAGTAGACACCCTAGCAGAGAAAGTGGAGAGAAGCCAGTCATACAGCTGTCTACCCCCCAAGCCACAACCAACCAGAAGAGGAAGCCGTTATGGTTGTCCAAAATGTGTGCAGGAGGGGTTACAAGATTGTAAACACTGCTTCTCTTGTGGCGAACAGGGACACAGAGCTGTGGGTTGCCTAAAAAAACCCTAAGCAGCAGGGAAACGTGAACCGGTTGCTGTGGGGGGACAAACAGTAACCGGAGTTCTTCCCAAGTCCCAATTCACAGACAGAGGAGCTGAAACAGACACCACCCACAATGTGACGGGGAACAGCAGGTTCAAAACAACTATTGGAACAGCTGCTGTTAACAAAAAGCATAGCCGTGAGAGAACTGCTGCTGACCCCCTAAAAGACACGACGCCTACCAATGAACCTGTTGCCAAATTAATAGGTAGGAAAGCTTTGACTAAGTGTATTCTCAATGGCCTCGCAGTCAATGCTCTCTTGGACACTGGGGCCCAAGTCAGCATAATAGACCGCCATTGGAGAGACAAGTACTTACCTGATCTTGACGTTCGTCCCCTGACTGAGTTAATTGAACTCATGGAGGATAAAAAGACACTGGAAGTGTATGCAGTGAATGGAGGGCTAATCCCCTTTGATGGCTGGGTGATCATAACCCTGAACTTACCAGGAAATGAGGACCCAGATTTATCAGTCAGTGTACCCTTCCTGGTGAGCTCGTTGCCTTTAGAAATGCCACTTTTGGGATTCAATGTGGTTGAAGTAGTGATTCAGGGAAAACCAGAAAGGCTAGCTTCCACTTTAAGTCGCCTCATAGGTGGGGCAATGTCCATCCCTGATGACACCGCAAAGACCATTGTCCATTTTGTGCAGACAAAAAAACCTGTTTCTGCTCAGGGGCGCCTGAGAACAGGTCCGAAAGACAAAGTCATCCCAGCTGGTAGCGTAACCTGGGTAAAATGTAAAGTACCACCACAGTTTGACTCTGGCGACCCTCTAGTGCTGTTCGAACCTGAGGAAAATTGCCCACAGTTACAACAGCTAGATGTGGGTGAGGGCCTCTTAGAAGTTCAGATGGGCAGAACTCCGCATGTAAATTTGCCTTTAGGAAACCAGACAAAACATGACATTATTCTACCCCGAAAAGCTTTGATTGGCAGTATCCAGCCTATCAAGAAAATTGTTGAGACTGACTCACTCCCAAACAGAGACCTGGAGATTCAGAGTCCTACCACTGCACCACCTACTGCAAGTTGTTCCACTCTATTGTGGCATCCGCCCGTTGATGTACATCACCTCACGGAGGAGCAGCAGGGAGTTGTAAGGAAAATGCTGTTTGAGGAGTCAGCTGCTTTTGCAAAGGATGCTAATGATATAGGCTGTATTACAAGTCTAGAGCTGTCACTAAATCTTAAAGATGACATCCCTGTGCAAAAAGCCTACAGCTCAGTTCCAAAGCCATTATTCAATGAAGTAAAGGAGTACATCCAGGACCTTTTAGCAAAGGGCTGGATAATCAAATCAAAATCTCCTTATGCTGCCCCTGTTGTATGTGTCCGCAAAAAGGATGGCACATTACGCCTGTGCATCGACTACCGGTTACTAAACCAGAAAACCATACCTGATAGGCACCCACTGCCCCGTATCCAAGATCTGATCGATACGCTGGGGGGCCATTGCTGGTTCAGTATTCTTGACCAAGGAAAGGCGTACCACCAGGGATTTATGGCAGAGGGCTCAAGGCATCTCACAGCCTTTGTAACTCCCTGGGGGTTGTATGAGTGGGTCAGAATACCCTTCGGCCTCTCCAATGCGCCTGCAGCCTTTCAGAGGAGTATGGAGGAGATGCTGGATGCATTTAGGGATGAATGTTGCATTCCCTACCTAGATGACATCCTCTGCTATGCCAAAACCTTTGAGGAGCATGTTGAGGGGGTCCGCAAAGTTTTGAAAGCACTTCAGCATCATGGTGTGAAGCTAAGGCCTGAAAAGTGCGAACTCTTTCGCAGACAAGTAAGATATTTGGGTCGCCTTGTATCAGCAGAGGGTGTGCAAATTGACCCAAAGGACCTAGAGGCTGTGCAGTCACTCAGGGCCAAAACACCGCAGACTGTTGGCGATGTGAGGCGGCTCCTGGGCTTCCTCAGCTATTACCGTAGCTATATTCAGGACTTCTCACGTATTGCAAAGCCTGTGTATGAGCTTCTCCAAGCCAAGTCTGACATGTCACGAGCACCACCTCACCAGAGGAAACCCAAAGGCAGTCAGCTGTCCTCCAATACTCCTGTGGTGTGGACTGGTGAACACCAGGGGGCACTGGAGCGACTCATTGACATGCTCACCCACCCTCCAGTCCTGGCCTACCCAGACTTCCACTTACCTTTCTTGCTACACACAGATGCCTCAGAGCAAGGCCTTGGCGCTGTACTCTATCAGCAGCAAGATGGTAAGCTAAGGGTTATTGGGTATGGCTCCAGAACGCTGTCTCCAGCCGAGAAAAACTATTGCCTGCACAGTGGGAAATTAGAATTTCTGGCGCTTAAATGGGCGGTGTGTGAAAAGTTTAGAGACTACCTCTATTATGCCCCACACTTCACCATCTATACTGACAACAACCCTCTGACTTACATAATGAGCACTGCTAAGCTTAATGCTGTTGGGCATCGCTGGGTTGGGGAGTTGTCAGATTTCCGGTTTGAGATAAAATACAGACCAGGAAAGGTAAATATAGATGCTGACACGTTGTCCCGCATGCCCCTTGACATTGAGAAGTACGTGACAGCATGTACTGAGGGGCTCTCTCATGAAGTTGTGCAAACCACATGGGGTGGGGCCAAAGCAGCCCAGGAACACGATGTAGCTTGGGTCGCCATCCTGGCTCTTACTGCTAACACGAACCAAGACCCCCCAACTTCACTTCCAACCATAAGCAGTGAGGAGTTGGTGAAGGCTCAAAGGGAAGACCCAGCAGTGGGAGAAATCATTCGGCTAAAAGAGACAAATGCTGTAATGACAAACGAGATACGACAAACAGTAGGTAAAGCTGCAAGGAGATTGTTTCATGAATGGAGTAAACTGTGCCTTGACAATGGACTTTTGTATCGACGTACTACTGAAAGACAGCAACTTGTCCTCCCAGCAATTTACAAGGCCAAGGTACTAAAATACCTCCATGACGACATGGGACACATTGGTACTGACCGAGTACTGGCCCTAGCTAGAGAGAGGTTCTACTGGCCATTTATGAAACAGGAAGTTGAAAACTATGTCACAAGGAAGTGTCCCTGCATAAAACAAAAAAAACCGGTTGGACATGTCCGTGCCCCAATGGGCACAATCACTTCAAACTCACCTTTGGATCTTGTATGCATAGATTACCTGCACCTAGAGCCCAGCCGAGGTGGATATGAATATATCCTGGTCGTAGTAGATCATTTTACAAGGTTTGCTCAAGCATACCCGACCAAAAATAAGTCAGGCAAGACAGCAGCTGAGCGCATCTTTGGTGATTTCATCCAGCGTTTTGGATATCCCGGCAGGCTGCATCACGATCAGGGTCGTGAGTTTGAAAACGAGCTCTTTAGGACTTTAAGAGAGAAAGCTGGAATTGGACACTCGAGGACCACACCGTATCACCCCCAATGTAATCCCGCCGAGAGATTTAATCGGACTCTCTTGCAGATGCTTAGGACACTCGGCGACAAAGAAAAGCAATGCTGGAAAGATCACCTTCAGCAAACAGTGCATGCTTACAATTGTACGCGGCATGAGTCAACAGGGTATTCCCCTTACTTT